TCAATCAATTATAAGCACAGTCTTTCGAGACAGCTACAGAAATAAGAGCGAGGAGCGGGTGTGGGTAGCACAACCAGCAACAGTTCTGATTTTCATTCCTCCCACTGTGAAAAGTGACAGAGCTCATCTTCCACGCAAGAAATACTTGTCCAGCACATCTCCCAAGCATGCAGCAAAAACAATAGATTTAAATGCATTTCTAATGCCTGTTCTGACCAAAAGATTGAAGTACTGTCTAACACTGATAGTTAGAAAACATGCTTCAGTTGGCACAAAACAGCAGTTGGATGGAGTGTCATATTTTGACAATTCATACAAGGGACCTCTTGCATGAAGTTTGAAAGATCCCTAGAGAAAATGAATACTTGAGACACAGGAAGAAAAGACATTTGTTGTCTTGCTGTGTATTACTCTATTACTTAAAAAATATTGAGCTGTCATTGCATATTATCTGTGAATGAAAAGAGGATATAAGAAAAAGAATAACTTGAAAGAAAGTAAGATTTTCTCCCTAGTAAATTTTATTTTCCTTTCTTGCTCAACATAGCCTTCAGCTTAGTTAGGGACAAACTGCTTTCCTGTGATTTTCCTCCCCGTGGACTTCAGTGCCATTACACATGGTAAAAACACCACCTAATTGTTGAACAAGAATTTGTGTGCATGTATATGGGGTCACAGCATCTGCTATTTTATATGCAGCAATTCCATTAATTTAGTGTAACCATTGTTGATCGAAGTCTTGCTCTGTTACATTTATAACCCTATTCCCAAAACAGTGTTAGAATACTTTTAAGATTGCAAAACGCTTTCTTTGAAAGTTAGGGTATGTTTGAATTAAGGTGGTACTTCACTTTTACACTACCTTTAATAAAAAAAGCATTGATTCATTTTTCCTTTGAGACAAAGTATTACTCTGCTCATTCCTCTCCTGACTTTATCTCACCTTCCAAGCTGGAATTTGTTGTAACTATTAGTTCATATCTATGCTTCTCACTGCACCATGCAAAGCCAAGTATCATGATAAATTTATCATTCTGAAAATGTCCATATTAGTCTGATTTATTGTAGATGCATAAAACAAGTAGTCATGGGAACATAACTGTAGCACAAACTCATCTAGCTGCTGCCCTCTTTTGTTTGACAATCAGACTCATTGCGTTTCCTGTCAGCAGTGTTTAACTGGCATTCAACTCACGTGAATGAAACAGTGTTTTGAATGCATGCTTATGAATACTTGTTCAGCAAGGGCATTCAGCCTACCAGAGAAAAAAATTAATCATCTGATACCTCATTGAGCAGCAGCCATGTCACTGAGCATCATATACGCAATGAGAATGACCCCAAATCACACCACAGTAAAATTAGTCTGATACATTTTCTTTTTTAGCAAACCCAATTTAGGAAATCATGATCTCTTCACAGACAAGTGTAAAAAGAAAAAGAAAAGAAAGTGTAAAAAAAAAAAAGTCAAATCAGTTTGCTGAAGTCACAGAGCTGAGTGAAATTATTAATAAGTTATTAATTGAGCCATCCTTTGGATTATGCTTTTAGTACCTATTAAATCAAAGCTGTGAATAATTATGCACTCTTGAAGGTATGTGCTCCTCCTCTGCTGAACTCACCTTTTCAAGCACGCTAGTCATTTGATAGCTGAATCTGCACTTTTCCCCTGAGTTTTATTCCCAGTTGCCTTAGGAGTCCAAAACATCACTATTACCTTTAGTTCCTAAATTTCAGGGGAAAAATATCTGTAAACGAGATTGCAAGTGTGACACGGCCCAAGAGAGGTATTCCTGTCTTTTGTGCAAAGCTGGTACAGAATGGATGAGAAGTTCAGCTGCTACTGGGGGACCTGGTAAAGACACACTCAGACAGCACAACTGGGTAAGAAGAGCTGAAAAGTAAAAGCTGTCTGCAGCTTTCCAAGCAGAAATGGCTATGTTTATGCCTGTTATTCTCAGAAAACGTGTTCTTCTTTCAAAACAGAATTTGGATGGGATTAACTGCATTTGATTTTTTTCCAGTTGGTAGCACTTTCTGCATTTGCCACCATACTCTGCCAGAATCATGCTCAAGGTTTGGTGTTGTTGACTGCCTGGGGGCACATAGAGGATGGGGAAGAGAAAGATTTACTAATGACATGAATGCTTCCAAGCCTTAAGGGGTGCCTGTTGTCTGGAACCCCTGTTATAGAAGTTTAATCGTTTCTATGCAGAGGACAATTTTTTATACAATACCTGTACAGAAGAGAAAATTAATATTCAGCCAACCAGGACAAGAAATAAAATACGTGGCTGGATGCAGTTAATCATGTAAGCCTCAGGACAGGGTTCCATCAGTGCTGCAAATGGAGGGCTAATATGCTGCAATAAGTCCACACAGGCAGAATGCATTTAAAATTTGTACTAGCTAAACAGTGTATCTCAAAAAGAACAAAAATAAAATAAAATAAAATAAAATAAAATAAAATAAAATAAAATAAAATAAAATAAAATAAAATAAAATAAAATAAAATAAAATAAAATAAAATAAAATAAAATAAAATAAAATAAAATAAAATAAAATAAAATAAAATAAAATAAAATAAAATAAAATAAAATAAAATAAAATAGTGATTTAAAGATGTCTCCTGCCCTGCAGGTTAATTTCCCAGGTAATTTTGACTTTGTGTGTTTCTTTAAATCTGTTTTCTGCAAGGCAGGAGGATGAAGCACCTCTGAGATGTTAGATGATTAATCAGTGCTTGGATAGAGACAAATATAGACACTCAAGAAAAGATGGAAAGAAGCATTGTAAATGCTTCACTCTCAAAGCATCCTGTTGTGCCAGTGATTATCTTTTGGGATTGCTGCATATAGTTTCAAAGACAACATCAAGCATTGTTCCTGTCAGAACTGGTGTGGCTGTCCATCAGAATGTCCATTCTGAGTGAAGGAAGAGAGAACTTAGTTTGACAGAGGAAGAGGGACCCTGCATTTCAATTTACGCAGCCTTTCAATCAAAAAAATGTATCCAATAGTGGAATACAAGAAAAAGGTAATTGGACAACTTATATTTTCCCACTCCAGCAATGTCAGTCAGTTAATTAGACAGGTCCCATCAGATGATGAGGGTATTTTAATAGATGTTTTACTGAGCACTCTATAATCTCAGTCATGGCAGAACTGGAAAAACACTCTACTAGTAAAATACTGTTGGGTTTTATTTCTGCTATTGATTTATTGTGTCATTTTGGATTAACTGCTTAATCAGCAGGCAGGGGTGGTCCTGAGACAAGGTTACTAGCATAGAAGTTGGATAATCTAACTTTGTCTTCTGCATTGCTCTGCTGAATCCCTGTGTGACCTTCAGTGAGCTTCTTGGATCCAGAGCTAATAATCAGCTGCTGAAAGGCACAGTTTACATCCCTCTCATGGTTATCACATTTCTGAAAAGAAATTTAGATCCTTGGAAAATTTCTAAGAAACATTCAGGTGCCTAAAAGCTTTCATTGTGCAGAGGAGTAGGGAGAAGTTTTAAGAATTGCTCTTTCAGGCTCGAACTATGCTTACCTGCTCTAGTCAACATACACACAGCAGTTCTCCACATACTGTGTATCTGAAGTGGCAGAAAAGTAGAGCAATGCCATGTGGTGTTCTGGTCTGAAAACATTGACAGCTACTGCTACCCCTTTAATTTACAGGAGGCTCTGCCAACTTAAGGTGCAAAGCTAGCAAAAAACATGACTCTTGCCCCTCTTCCAGATTCCCCCCTAGTTTCAAGGTGCACATCCTGAATTATACCTTCTGAAGGAGAAAGCTTATAATTGGAAACTGGTATTTTCTATAGTAAGTATACTAGTTAATGTTTTGGGGACCTTTTAAAAATAGAACACAAAGCAGAGGAGTATGTTCATCCAATTTTGAAGCACTGATTAAAGATCGTATTTTGTGTAACACATCATCAAATTCCTGCCTTTGCTTCCAAAATAGATGATTGGAATGTGGTAGAATTTGGTCCCATGCAGCCAGCTGAAATCATAATAAATCATTTTTGCTTAGATGCAGTACATTTATCTCCATGTGGCGCTATCAGATGGAATTGATGCTTTTAGATTTAAGAACAAAGTCTTCCCTTAGAATGGTATTACTGAGAATCTAAGAGTTTAGGAAGAAGTAATAAAGGATAAATTAAAAATCATCCTTGCAACTTCTAAGAAAGCCAAGCGGGAGAAAAAGATTGGACTACTGTCCCTTCCAAAATGAAATTCATGTGTCCTCATCGTTCAAGCAGATACAACAGCTAGGAGCAGATATTGTATGCCAGTGGAAAGAATATATATTGCACACATAAAAGGCTGCAACATAAATTTGAAGAAATATGGACCTCCTTCATATAGGTAGGTCAAACTTTTCCCTCAAGCAGATAATTACAGGCTTGGGGTGAGTAAATCTTATTAGCTTCTCAGTACCTTAACTCTTCTCATAGAGACTGGTAATAGGCATATAGTAGACACGTACTACTTCAGTGCTGAATGTGCCTGTGGTTTGCCAGGAAATAGGTCATACCAAAAAAAAGATAAAAACAGATTCCCTGATTTTGGAAAAGTTAGAAGTTGTGGAAGGAGATGCCAAGGACAACTGATTTTGCTACACAGCTCCTCTATTTATATCACTGGATTCAAAGATACCACCCAAATATTTGAAGTATCAGTTTGGAACTTTTTTTTTTTTTTGAAGGAGCAGGGTAGGCTGGGGCAACCCAGGTCATCAGAAACCTCTCTGAGGATGGCAATGGGCCAAGTCCAGCTCTTCAGAAATGGTGTTCTTTGGCCCATAAACAGGATTAGGGAAGGCCCCAGGGGAAGCTGATAAGGGACAGTAAGGTTTATTAGTGCCCCCAGGGGATGACAGGAGGGATACTGTATCACGGATTGTTTGATTGTTTTGCCCCACAATTATATGAATATCCTTAAGCAATTAGTTACAGCCTCTTGAGGAAAACATATACATGCTACTTACTGTGTCGTCCTCTATGGGAGAAGAAAGGAGATGTATCTCTCATGACCCAGGTCAAGTTCCAAGCAGAGAGACCGGGGGGAAGATGAGGGCTGTTTGTTGGGAGATCCGGACTGCTCAGACCTTACATTAAAAAAAAAAAAATAAAAAAAATATAAGCATTACATATGACATAGTTGCTTGTATGCTACACATTAAGTGCAAATATCAGCTTATATATTGTATACACTGAGTACTGATATTAAACTATTTCTTGGTCATTTTTTTACTACCAAATAAGTCTGTGTTCAGGGAAACTGGAGATAAATTGCTTTTCTTAACAGAGTTACCATCACTTAGAAAAACTGTCAACTTTAGTTCCACACAGATTCTAAATTCTCAATGACCTTTCCTTAAATTTATTTATTCATAAAGTCTTGTTAGCATTCAGACATCCTGTACATGGAAGAAGCAAACATACACAGCTCCTGTTCAACAACCCTATGCATCTAGGAGATGCGTTTGGGGATCAGAATACTGCACTGACCCAGAACATGAAAGTATCTGTACAAAACTGCACTAACTGTGCAAGACCACAGTGATCTTAGAGGTGCAAAGAGAATCTGAAGTAACACGCCAGGTCAACGTGAAATAATATAGGTTTGAAAGCACAGATTTGCCCTGTGAATGTTTACAGTGTGTTTTTTTTCTTTCTTTCTTTCCTGAGGATAACAGGATCTTGAGTATGCTCCTTTCATTTTTTGAACTCTTCAGGGGAAAGGAAGGATTTAACTTTGTAGAAATACAGACAGGCAAAACTTGTCTTTGAGAAACTTGATGCAACAAAATAAACCTGTGGCTTGCTGATATGTTCTGATTTCTCGGTGAAGCCATAAACAAATTGTTGTTCAGAAAGAAAAAATAAAAAGAACTATTAAATTGATCTATTAAATTTTTTGTCAAGCAAGAACAATGCAGATGCTGGCTTGAAGTACTTTAGTTTAGATACAATGCTAAGCTTTGCTATAATAGAAGAAAAACAATATAGTAATACCTCCCAATAAAAGTTTGGTAAAATTTTCTGTAACAAAAGGAATTAACTTAGAGTGATAATTAATTGTGTCAAATAATCATCCTCCTGAATGGGTAAATAATAATGGATAATAACAGAAACGTTTAAGGGGATAATAGTAAGCAAGGTAAATGGCTGAAGCCTTGGCAAAAACATTGCTTTGATTCTGCTAAAGCTCTGCCACTTCTCTCTTTCACATAAGAAAAACTTGAAAATTTCAGAGGGACTTGTCAGAAGCTTAAGTACCAAGTGTTGGTTGAGCCCTACCTCATTCTCAGTGTATTCTTATTCTTAGCAGTCCTGTAACTGAGTAATGGTAGCAAAAACAAAATAAAAATAACTATTTTTACTTAAGAACTGCAACTTGCTCATTGCTTAAAGCAATAATCTTCATGATAAGAATGAACTTTGTGCTGTTTTGGAAGCCATTCTCAAAAATTAATAACCCTAATGGCTCAATTAAATTTGGTCTCTATGCTAAGTTACAGTATAATCATAGAATGAAAGAATCATTTAGGTTGGAAAGACCACTAAGATCATCAAGTCCAACCATTAACCTAGCAAAATGAGCCTTTTGTCCCTACTAGTATGCTTTTTAACCACAGAAAAAGAGTTTAGACTTGTAAGGGAATGTTTGTGCCCCCAAAATTAGGGTATGGACTTCAAAATTAGGGTTTGGACCTAAAAATTAGGGCTTTGGGATTTTCAGCTTTGGGGGCTGGATCCTAAAACAACATTCTGATCCCTCAGAATGGGTGTTTGAACCCTAAAAAGAGGGTTTGGGCCCTAAAATTGAGGTCATAGCCCCTAGAATGGGGCTTAAGGCACCCAAAAAGAGCATTTGTCCTCTCAATTAAGGCTTTAGAACCCCAAAATGAGGATTTGTTCCCTAAAATGAAACTGTGGGCCCTAAAAATGAGACCTGAATCTGAATACTTAAGGTGTGGGTGATAAAAAGGTGGTTTTGGATCCCAAATGTAGGCTCAGGATCATGAAAATTATGGCTTGGAGTCTAATTACAAGGTTTCAGTTTATAAAATCAGCCTTTAGTCCCTATTAATACATTTTCTAGCCACAAAAAATAGAGAGGGTGTAGAGCCGTAAGAGACTGTTTGTGCCGTAAAAAATGATGGTTTGAACCTTAAAATGAGGCTCTGAACCCTAGAATGAGGCTTTGGACCCTGGGAACGATTCTTTGAACCCCAAACCAAGGTTCTGGGCCCTAGGAAAAAAAAAGGTTAGGAACCTGAAATTAAGACATTGGCCACAAAAAAGAATGTTTCAGAATCCAGAAAAGGGGTCTCTGGACACTAACATGTGTCTGTGGACCCTAAAAATGATTCTTTGTACCCAAAACTGAGCCTTTGGGTCCCAAAAAGAAGGCTCTGGTTACTAAAACAAAGGCTTTGGGTCTGCAAAAAGTGATTGGGGGTTGGATCCTAAAATGATGCTTTGATCCCTCAAAGTGGGTTCTTGGATCATAAAAGGTGGCTTTGGGCCCTAAAATTCTGGCCTCATCTCCTAGAATGAGGATTTGGGAAATAGAAAATTGTACCTGAAAAAGGCAACTTTGCACCTTAAAATGAAACTGCGGGACCTAAAAATAAAGCACTGTGCCCTAAAAATGACAGCCTGGGCCTAAAAACTGAGGGTGTAAGCAATAAAAAGACAGATTTGGATCCAGAATGGAATTGCAGGGCCCCGAAATATCCCATCATCGTCTGGAATTTAGCAGAAAAAAAAGATGAGGCCAGTCATTTGAGGGTAGATAAGAAACCTAGTGTACTGCCTTCAACTGTGAGTAACAAAGTAATAGGCAACTATGGTATAAGCTTTACATTGGATTTTCCTTCTTAACATGAAGACATAGTTGACACATCTTTCAGTAGCTCATGATATACCCTGATGTGGCAAAAAATGTCAGGATCCATTACAATAGATATAGATGCTGCTAAAATAGATTTCTTCCTACAAATGTGTTTCGCTTTGATGCTAGTATAAAATAATATTTAAAAAATAATAATAATAAAAATTGAGCTCCTGTAATAAACTAGTTTTAATATCAGTGGACACAATAAGTGTGTTCGTCTTGATGTGAGATGTCTAATGAGTAACAACATCACTGTAATATAACATCTCCATCCAGTAACACTCCAAAACAAGGAAAGATTTACAACCTTAACACAGGTCTCACGTCTTGCACAAACAACAACTTTGGGGCCTCCTTACCCCTACAAGACCCAAATGAATGTAAATATCATGCATTTAGCATTGGTAGGGAGCCAAGTCCTGGGATCTGAATCCTGTGAAGACACAAACCTGAAACCCTACCTGTTCCCCATGGGAAAATAAGCTGAGAGAAAGTTACACAGACACATTCTTCTCTTTAACGCTGCAGCCATGGAACTCAAAATTAAATCACTGCTCGCATCCTGACCACCCTTACTTAGGAATCAGGAACTCAATGATCAGCTGCAATACCGTAGATTCCCTGGCACTCCTCACTTTCAGAAATATGCCTCTGACAACTCTAATGCAATACATGTCTCATTCCTCAGAAATCATGCCAGCCTTCAGCCTCATTTAAGTGGATGTGTTCCCTCTGTCACCACTACATAGAGTAAACTGAGATAAAAAATAAAGTTGAACATCTGAGCAGAGAATACAAGGCAGTCCAGGCACCTGAATCTCCCCTCTATCAGCAGTAAGAGCTGCAGAAGAGATAACATCAAAAATTGGAACTCTCTCTCTCTCTAACTCTCCCCCTCCCTCTCTCAGAATAGAGTTACTGCAATTCATTTTAACCTAATAACTCATTTTTTTCTCATATTCCTTAGGATTAATTTTGTAACTTCATCTCAAATGATTTGCTTGGGCTATTGGTCTGAACTTGAAGACAAGAAGATTGTATCAGAAGTTATGAATCTTTCCCAATTAAGTTATCTTCAGAGAAAGATGCTGGGTAAAAGGTTTTTTGTAGCCAAGAGGCTACTCTTCACAGCGAGGAGTGATTAGATTTCAGAGTGAGCTGTAGGTTAGGAATAGGAGAGACCTTTCCTCTTCCACCTCCAGGGTATTTTATGACCAGAAGGGTAATTACAGGAGACCTGCATATCAGCTAAACAAATGCTTCTTGTGCAGCAATGGTAATGTAAACACAGAGTACACTGGAGCCATTTCACAAGATAATTTTTTTTCCCCCTCTCTGAAACAATTAATATTGAAACCAATAAGCACTAAAATTTTTTTCCCTTTCTTTCTAAACCTACTAACCTCCCATTATGGTTGTCTGCACCATGGTGCTCTATCACTTGTCAACAGTAACCCTAACCTTTAAAAAAAATTAATGGATTACCAACTAGAAACTGACAGCTTCGTTTTTAGTAGCCAGCTATTTGGTGAGGTATAACAGAAGTTTTTTTGATATTCCTGCCCTAAAGGAATATCCAGGGCCAAAACCTGACCCAAGGTACTCAATCACAGCTAGAAACATGCACCTGAAGAGAACATTTGACATTTCTGTTTTTAAACTCGTGCAAAGGAATTTCCTTAGGGGATGTGAAATTCATTCAGCTCACCATTTTGGTTTAAAAAAAATAAATAAATGTTTCATATGTAGGGAAGTCAATCCTCAAGGCCACAAATTCATTAAATAAAATATTTATGTATTATTTTAATGAAAAATACCTCTTTAATAGAATAAGCCTGCATGTTCAAATAAAAATGGAAAAACAAGAAAAGCTTTCTACCCTGGTCATTTTAAAACAAACTGGATTTTTCCCTTTTTCTCCTTTTCTGGGAGAAGGAATGAGTATCCCCAGCCATTAACATATGGAGTTTTCTAAAGTTCTGTGTAGTGTAGAAACGTAACAGAATTTTTATTGAAACATCCATGCTATTTTTAACTAAGAACAACAACTTCAGGATATTACTCCCTTTTGATATTGCTTCATTACCCTGTAGATAAGCTTCCTCACTGTGCTGAGCTGTATTATTCCCAGTTTCTCAGAGCTAGACCTCACCAAAGATGCATCCTAGCAGCAAAATAGGAAAGAAAGCTTTTTCCAAGAAA